TTCCAATATTTAATACGTTAAATAAGTTTATTTACCCCCTTGCTAACTCCCTCAAATACGGCGTGTTCTATCCGTAGATTCCGACACTCTCTAATTCCCTCAACGACCGCTTTGTGTCGTCTTCCAAAAATGCATTTCTCTTCCTCCATGTCTCGGGGCCATAACCTAAAGACCTAAAGACTATCATTATCATCGTCATTATTCAAAGTCTTAGCATTTTCTACCCAGTTATCTTTTTATTCCTCTTTTTTTTTAAGAGCATAAGGTCGTATAACCCTTATTCTGAAGGTCATAAGCGGAGTGAAAGCCGTGCTGGTAAATTCACCACATGAGCATGCTTTCCGCGGTCGGTTAATCTCCGAGGCGAGCGCATCCAGACTTACTCGCCGGAGCCAAAGAAAACCATTTTCGTGTATTTTTACGTTTTCTTTTTTAGTGGTTGAAATGACGTGAAACTTTTTTTTCTTTCTTTCTCTTTTACTGTTGATAAGTAGCTGAAATGATGGAATCAAACGAAAATAAGAATAAGATCAAATAACCTTTTCATAACTTCATTTTAAGAAATCTAAACATATTCAAAGTTTATAGTAAAAAATGTCTATAAATATCTCTCGGAAATCGAACATTCTAGACTACTTATCCAAGCATAACCAAACACGAAGGTTTTCGTCCACACACGATTGTATATGTATTAAGTAGAGCATGGCCGTGCGCGCGCGTGTGTGTATGTGTGACGTGTGTGTGTGTGTGTGTGTGTGTGTGTGTGTGTGTGTGTGTGTGTGTGTGTGTGGTGTGTGCGCTGTGTGTGTGTGTATGCTCTGTGTGTGTGTCCTGTATGTGTCGTCGTTATTGTGTAGTGTGTGTTCTCCTGTAGTTGTGTAGTATGCGTGCGTGCATTATTGTTTGTGTTCGTGTAAGTGTGTGCGTGTTGTTGCCCGTGTAGTGTGATGTGTCCGCTTAGTGCGTGTGGTCCTGTGTGTGTGTAGGTATCGTGCTGCAATATGCGTGTGTGTGTTGTCCGTATAGGTTACGTGCGTGCATATCGTGCCTTGTTGTATGTCTGTAGTGTATATGTACTTGCGTGCATATGTGTGCGCCGCTCTCTTCCCGCCCAGAGCCCCGTGATGAGCCGATAAACAATGTCTGGCTGCCGCGAAGGTCATCCGGAGGCTCGCTGACGCCGCTCCCGTTTTTTTTTTTCGATTCGTTGCGTGGCTGGAGAGCTTGGACATGCGCCATTGACTGACAGCTATGGTAATGATGTAAATAGTATGCCCAAACGCACACAAACACGCCTATGTCGTGTGTGGGTGCAGCCCGTGAGTA